CCCTCTGCCCCAGCTTCCCTGCCTGCAGGAGCAAGTAGATTTTTTTCCTTATTGACCTCAGCTGTGAAGACGGATGAAAAGAAATTGCTCAGGGCTGTATTTGCACTTTCTTCTGGACCTGCTGAGTGGTTTCCCTGAGAGATTCGTGGTACAGGGCAGGCAGCACAGGGTAGAACCTTCCACTCTCTCCTTTCAGCATTGTTTGTTCTCAGTCACATCCTTCTGAGAAATGTTTTATTTAGGAAGAAGGAGGTTAGCTTTTCCTCCTGGTCAAAAAAGGGAAACATTTTCTTTAACACAAAGCAAGCAACAGAGAATTGGAATTATTGTTATAATGTTTAAGCTTTGTCAAAACCCCATTTTCCTATGAGAGAAGAGATGGATAGAGGGAGCAAGGCCAAGGAAAGCCTTTGACTCGTGTCGGGTGTTTACGTGCATGAGCATAATTTGTACAATATTTTCTCTGCCTCTCCTCCTTGTCCTCTCACCACGTTCCCTCTGATAGAGTGTCCCTTCCAGGGCCTCCCATCTCTCACATCCTCACAATTTCCTCACAGCACTGATTATTTCTTTGCCATACTCCATGCTCTCTCACCCTCTGCCACTGGCTCTCAAACTTCCTGCTGGACTGTTGGCCACTGTATTCTCTTTTATATGCTCCTTACCACCATAACCAAGTCTGTTCCCCTCTCCCCTTCCCCCAGTCAAGCTGACTTCTCTGCTGTCGCAGTGCTGGGGTCGTCTTTATGGAGCGAGCTGGCATTGCCTCCCTGGAGAAATCTCCACCTGCAGGTGGATCTTGGCTTCTCTCGCCGTTCTTGGCTCCTCTGTTTGAGTCTGAAGCAGTGATTTAGCAGAATTTGTTTTGACAATAGCAAAGGATATTCCCAGCCAATTAAAAATATGGTAATGGAAAGATGGGAAGGAAATGCGGCGCTTCCTCTGCTTGAGGGGTTTGTTGTTAGCTGTTACTGTGCTTAAAGGGATTAAAAGTGCACGCTGCAAGTCCATGTCAGATTGAATGTTAAGCTCCCAAGCTGCAGCCATGCTCTTGAGAGCAGGGAAACAATAATTCACTACGGTTTGAGATAGAAGGATTACTTCAGTAATTTGCTTATTGACTGGTATTCTTTCTCACGCAGGCACGTACATGCATGCACACAAGCACATGAAATTACAAGGCATTTTATTAACATCTCGTGCTGCAAATGGTTGAAATCAAGGATCGTTCAGAGCATGGCCTCAGAAGCAACGGCCAAGATGCTGTGCAGTGCCGAGGATGGGCTGGGTGATGAAGGGCAGAGGTTCTGGAAGATGTGAGCTCGCTTTTCTCCTCCCATGGGAAGTTCTGTACTTCTGTGCTTATTTCTCCCCAGAGTACATCTACCAGCAGCAGTAACAGGTACCCCAAATGGCTCATCCTGCTCTTCCTTAAGGATCCTGTGGCTGTATCCAGTGCTGGGTCAGGATCCCCAGAGGGCAGTTCTGATTCCTGTGCCCAAGTTTTTAGTCTGTGCAAGGGCTCTGCGAGCACTTTGTTCCACGGCAATGGGTCAGTATGGGCACAGCAAGACTCAGCTCCTGGCATCTCTGAGGCACAGCATCTCCTGCCTGGCCCAAGGTCACTGTGGTGAAAGCTGAGGGCTGACATCCACGCAGGGTTGAGCTGTTTTCTTGCCAAGAGCTGGAGAAGCATGTAAAGGGTTACATCTGACGGGGAGCCAAGGCAGACTTTATAGCAGTGCTGTTTTTTAACAGGCAGCCCAGACTTGTAATATCAGCACTTACTGAATTAATTTGCTATGTAGCTCCGGTAAAGCTCAAAGTTCTTTCAGTGAATTCTAGTTTTGAGAAAAATCAAGAAAGTAATTACTTGGCTTGGTCATTAATTACTCACTACTGGACATTTTCGAGAGTGTAGTATGAAAAGCCTGAGGCAGCTATTAAGGGTAGCTCTAATGCTATTGATCTATTTGCGTTTATTGTGGAATTTCTCTGCCTTTATAACATTTCATTGAACTAGAGGATACAGGTGCGTGGGGCCAGGGAGCACGAGCTGTTCTGTGCCATGCCTGCCCTCCTGGCAGGACGGGTGACTTCTCAGTGTCCCCACGGAGGGCCCTGGTGTGGGGCTGGGGTTGGGGGCTGGCCGTTACACGGCTGCACAGCTGGGGTTGCAACGCTCCAGCGTGGCTCAGGGCTCTGCCTCATTCCCCTCCAGCCTCCAGGATGATCAGTTTCCCATTCCCTCAAAGTGCCACAGCCTGGCTGCCACCTCTGCACGTTGGCAAGAGGGAAAGGTGTGAGGCGGCAGCAGCAGCGTGACAGTTGTCTGGTGAGCTGGAAATGCAGCAGGGAATGGGAACAGCTTCTGGAAAAGGGCAGGGTTGTCATTTGGCTTCCAGGGGTTTCTTGAGGCAGATGAGGTCTCACAAGGATGGTGTTGGTTGGGTCAGGGTTTGTTCTGGCTCTGTTCCCAGCAGTGAAAGGTGCAGACATTTCATGTACAAGCTCAGACAGAAAATGCCACTGTGCCGTTATTATTATTATTTTTTCCTGTACCCTGAAGAACAGGGAAAAGCAGCAAGCATTTAACAGTGCCAAAGGGATGCAGCTGCTCAGCTAGTGCCTCCTGGCCTTTCTCCTTCTCCCATCGTATTTGGTATGCAAAATTGAATCACACCCTTCTCACCCCCTTCCCACTGGGGGAAAGGTGGCCTTTAAATCATAATATGATTGCAGACGATGTTGCAGAAGGGGAAAATGAGATGAACTTTAAACTCCCCTTCGCTTTACAAATTTGTTCATGTCTTCCCTCATAGCTGCTTAGTCATGCCTATTAGATTTACCATTTTCTAGAAAGGAAAAGTGGAAGGGAATTTTATTATCTCTTCAGCATCTGACTTGGTGCCTTCCTCCCCTCCTTTGTGTGGTTTAATCAGGAATTTGCAGAGGTTTTGATTGGGCTCCTTTGATCCTAGTGCAGAGTCCCCCAGGTACGGGTTCGTTAGCTCTCATTAGGAGAAGCAGCATTTTTCTGTGATGGTGCAACGTCCTTGTACAGCTAATTGAAGAGCCATCGCAGGCACTTTATTGCTTCGTTACTTTTCGCCGGTGCCTCGAATGCCTGCAATGACCGACCAGGTTGGAAATGAGCAGCATAGAACACAAAGAAGGGAAGGGACCAGTTGTTTAATTAATTAGCAACTGCTGAAGGAAACACTTTGCATTTTTTTTATTTTTTTTTCCATGCAGACGGTGCAAAACTGTGCTACTGGTTGAAATTAAGAAAATGAAATCAAGAACTTGGCAAGTTGCATTAAGGAGGCTGGGTCTACATTTGCATATCAAAGGTAGCCAGGATTCTTGGAACAGTCACACGCATTTTGAAAGGGATTTTGCACTTTGTTCAAAGAGTTAAATCGGTTTTGGGCTATTACAGTTTGCAGAAGGAGAGCTGATTTGCATATGTGCTGTCGGTGGGGATCTCATACCTCAGCCTGGCACGTCCCCAAATTGGACATCAGACAACATGGCCACGGGCCTGCTCCTACCTGTCAGCTCCTCTGGTCTTGCGTTTGTGGTGATGGGATAGAGGAAATGGGAAGGAATGGGCAGGAGGGAGAATATTGAATAGCAAAGAAGAACTTCTCCGCAGCGGGCGGAGAGCCAGCGGGTCTGCACCAGCCGTGGAGGAGCCTGTACTCAGAGCAGGTCACAGAGCTGGATCTCAGCCCTGGCACTTCTGCAGCCATTTCAATTAATGTCATTGTTCTAGGCAGAGCTCCTGGATGGAAAATGTGCACTACTGTGAAATGTGATAGTGCTGTGCCCTGGGGTTCTTCTTTGGAAAGTGCTGAAATGCGCAGTGCCATTTCTGGAGGTGTAGAGGATATGGCACCTGGGGGTCCTGGCCAGCTGCTGCCAGAGTGGGACCCAGTGATGCAAGCTGAAGGTGGATTTAGATGCTGGAAGAGAACAGCGAGGAGATGCAGTCAGTTTTCCCCCCACTGGAAATCATTCAGGCAGTGTTGGATACCAGTGCAAAAGATATGCTGTAATTCCACCAAAGACAGTATTTTCCATGGGAGATGTTTTGCCAGGCATGGGCTAACTAGCCAAACCTTGTGGTAACAGCGTGCCCTCCTGGCCTCAACACCCAGAGCTGGCCACCATATGTTTGTCCCCGACTCTATTCCAGCCAGCATTTGTGACTGGATTTTCAAGCCCGTTCTATCTATCTGCGTCTCTGTGTTGGTGAACAGGTTGCAGAATCACAGAACATCCCAAGTTGGAAGGGACAAATGGTGATCATGGAGTCCAGCTCCTGCCTCCACACAGGAACGTCCATAAATGAAGAATAACTCAAACAGTATTTCTGAGAGATTGTCCAAACACTTCTCGAGTGGCCTTGTGTCACTGCCTGCTTCGAAGGGCACAACTTTGCAGACTCTGCCAAGACTTTGGATTTAGACTTTCCCCAAGCACCTCCTGATGGGAGGGAGCTTGTCCCTAAGGAACAGAGAACAAGGGGTTAATTCTGGCACAGCTCTGCCTGTGTGCTTGTTTACAGCTTGATAGAAGCCATGTCTTATCTAGCACGTCTTCTCTCTGTGCATCTGGTGGGCATGGAGAGCCTAGCCTGCAACCTGGCATGGATCGGCCATTCCTGCCATCTTCTTCCAACCCTGGCTGTTGGGTTTGCAATCTGCCCACAGTGTCAAACGTAGGTGGCTTTGGAGAGCAGAAATATGCTGTGTAAATACTCCTTATTTATCATCTTGTCCAAGGGGACATGCAGGGCAGTGGGAGAAAGGGGTGTGAAGAATGAGTAAAGGACACTTCTGCTCCGTAGCTGTTAGTCACCGTTGTGGAAATACTTTGGTATGGCTGCCAGACAGGAAGGTGCACTCCCCCAGCCTCCTGATCATGTTATTATATTACACCTGCCATTCCTTTTTTTCCACTAATATGTTATTTTTGGCCTGACAGCTTTATGAAGGGGAAAAGAGAAATAGAGAATGAGACGTGCACCCCTACAAGACGCGGTGTTCATTCCTCACCAGTGAGGGATGGGTCTGCCTCAGACATGGGAGATCTGCCGACTGAAATATCTTGCTGTTTCCAGCAGCTCAATCTGCCACCAAAGGGAGATCTCCAGTTTGCAGAGGTGAGGAGATGGGGCCGGATTGGCTCTGGAAAATCGATCCTTCAGCAATCTCACTTTCCTGGCTCCCTGATCTCTACAGGGGTGTTCAGTTAGTGGGAATAACCAGGCCACTCTCTAGCTTGGATGTTGCTGATACGGTGGGAGTATGATGATCTGGTTGACCACATCATCACCTCCGTGCCTTGTTCTTGGCTGAATCAGGCTCTACAGGCAGTAATGGCTAATGTCCTCTGTGAGTAAGGGTTGGTGGAAGAGCAGTGACCCCAGGAGACTTAATGCTGGTTTCATTTTGCAGAGAGGAAGAAGGGAAATGAAGAAACTTGTGGAGGGGAAATGCCATGTCAGACACGGCCACTAGTTATTGTCCTGCATTCAAAGGCCACAGGGCAGAAGGAAGTGTGTGTGGGAAGTGGGAGAGGCAGGAATGAAACCTAAAAAGTTGCGTGTTGTCATTGTGAAAGTGGAAAAAAGGAGTGTGAAAAGGGCAGGAGTTCAGCTGAGCTGGATATTTGCTGGCAAAATGTAAAACGGAAAAGATAAAAAACAAAACAAAAAGACACGTTGGGAATGAAACAGAGAGGGAAAGCATTCCAATCTGGAAATAATCCCAAGCTTTTGTCTGTCCTGAGTTCCATGATTCATCAGTGAGGGTGGTGAGGCACTGGCACAGCTTGCCCAGAGATGTGGTGGATGCTCTGTCCCTGGAGACTTCCAAGACCAGGCTGGATCAGGCTCTGGGCATCCTGATTTAGTTATGGTATCTGTTCATTGCGGAAGAGCTGGACTAGATGATCTTTAAAGGTCCCTTCCAACTCTAAGGATCTTATGATCCTATCAGGTGACTCGGAAAATCCACTGAAAATGAGGGTGCTGTGTGGTGAGGGTAAGCCTTGGCAGCAGATCCCTTTGGCCCTGCTGGTCCCAGTAGGGCTGGCCAGGCACAGGACCTTGCAGGATGGTCTCTGGGCTCCTTGGCCAGGTCATTCCTCTGCTCCAGCTGCAACAGCAAGATGCTCTGAGCTCAAATCCCTGCTGTGCTTCCTCATGATGGGAAGGAGGAGTTTGCAAAGTGAATTGTGCTGCTCCCCTGGGATCCCTTTGTGTTGTTCCTTCTTGCTGTGGTTTGGGGTCATCATGTGGGTGTTGACCTTTGGAGCATGTGGGAAGGTAGAGAAAAGGGTGCAGGGACGGGACTGCTGCTCTGCTGTGTGACTGGTCTGTTGAGGTGCAGCAGGGGAGAGGCTTCAGTCATATTTGCGTGCCAGTTTGATGATCACAGCCACAAAGAAAGCCCAGAGGACTTTATAAGAATGCAGTTGTCAGCTGGAAAAAGAAACAAAAGGCCAAACCACTACACCACTCATCCATGTATTTCTCTGCCTTTGGCCTGTGTGCTCTCCCCAGGATGCTTAACCTCACAGAGCACATTCTTTTGCAATAATATTTGCATTGGGCAACTCATGTGCTGTCCCCACAATGGCCCTTTTTGCTAACTGCATGCCAGTCTGTGCTCGTTTACCGAGGAGAAACAGCTTCAGGCTTTTCCATTCCCACATTTCAGCAGAAATGTCTAATTCCCAGGCATTACGGGAGACAGACTGATCAAACAGAGCAATTAATTCAACAAACAATACAATTAAGCCGTGATCCCAGTGTAGTTTCCACCCAGAAACAGAATCAACAGCCTTCCCAGCACGGATAAATAAACTCACAGATGGAGGCTTTTGTGAGTGGCGAAGTTTTCCCTCCGCAGCTTTCCTGAGAGCGCATAAAATCGCGGAGTACATAAATCTCTGGCTCTCCGTCCTCACGGATGGTGAGGAAGGAACCGTGCGCCTGCTGCGGGGCAGATGTGTGCTGGCTGGAGGCTCGGGAAGGGAGCAGGGGCTGTGCAGAGGCGTGTGCAATAGTGAGGCTGCATTGCAAACAAAGGCTGCTGCAGCTGGCTCCTCCGCCGTCCCCAGGGTCCAGCTCTTGTCATGGTCTTGACACGAAACACATGGCGTGAAAAGCTGTGAAGGAGAGGAGTGACCTGCTTCACACTGGGCTGGATTCACTTGTTACTTCAGAAAGCCGATAGAAATCCCGCTTTCTGAACTGGGTGTCCAAACCGTCTGAGTTCAGGGTGGAACAAAATGCTTTGCTGAGTCCTTGGGCAATATGCAGGAACAAGTGAACCAAGGAGAAAGGGGGGTGAATCTTCCCAGAGATGATGCTGGGTGCACAAAGGTGGAGAGAAGTGGACTGGTGCTTCTGACCCTTCCTAAAATCAACTGGAGACCATTCTGGGAAAAGCTTTTCTATTCTCAGTCATCACTGGCCTCCATCCTGAGCTATGGGAATTAGTGAAATATCACCTCCTGTGAGGGACAACAGTGCAGCAGGATCATCACAGCAGCACAGGGAGGAGGCTGTGGGACCTCACAGCCAGGCTGGAGACCTGCAGGAAGAGCAGCCCTTCCTGGGAGAGCTGTGTGGAGGTGCTCTGGGGTCAGGAGAAGTGGTTGGATGGAGGGGAGCAAAGGATACACTCGGGTTATGCTGCAGTTTGCACAGTGAGGTGGGGGCTGGAAATTTATTTTAGAGTCAGAAGCACAAGGGAGCTGCACGGTTTCAGAGAGGTGTGAAAAGCCTGAGTGATGCACCCAGTGCCTGCAGGGAGCAGTGGGAGCAGGCTTAGGCACAGATGTTCTGGGCAGAGAAAGGAGAGGTTTTTCTGAGAGCAACCCCTGTGGTGCTGCTCGACCATCATCCTGCTGGGAGAGGCTGTCTGGAGGCTGGGGATGAGATGGGTGCTGCAGGGAGCTCCAGCTGGCCCTCAGCTGGCTAGTGGGCAGGCAGGAGGGCTGTGGGGAATCACTGGAAGTCATTCACCCAGCTAAACTCTTCCCCAGGAAGAGATGAAGCTGAGTTCTCTCTTTTTTTCCTACTAGAGGCTGTTTCTGTGGGTTTTTTTTTCCCCCCCTTCTTTCCTCTGCCGCGTTTATCGGATGCATTCCTCAGGATTCAAGATCTCACTGTACACCCAGATGACTTGATTTAACATTCCGGGTCTCTGAGCAGGGACTGGAGGCAGTGAACCTGGCACCAGCCCCTGCTACTGCAGCTTGAGCCTTGGCAGGCTGTTGTGCTAATGACGAAATTAGCTGGGGAAGCTATTTACAGCCTTGGGCTGGGCAAAGCCTGAGGAGTGCAAGAGCTGTGCTGCAGTGTTTTTGGGGCTGGGGAAATCTGCAATGTGTGATATGAAGGCCAGACCATCACATAGCCAGGGCTTCTCATAGAGACAGAGAGATTTGCTTGGGCTGATGTTTTCTGGGGCCTGCCCTGCTGTGCCTTTGTATCTGCTGTTGCCTGTGAAGCGGCGGTTTTGATAATTGCTGAACAGATTTCCTGGGCTTACATCTACTGCTTGTCACATTGACTTGAAGGAACAAGGAACGCATTCCTTTTCTCCTGCCTCGTATCAGAGATCAGAGCCCTTCTGCTTCCAGACAGGGAAACAGCTGCCGTTACGCTCATTCTCCAAATGCTCTTAGAACTGGCCACCCTCCAGCTCCCCTTAGAAGAACCCCCTGGCAAGCTGGGCATACAGGTGGGCCAGCTGCTGCCATGCTGCCATCTGGGCCTGCCTGTAAGGTTGCTGACAAAGCTGAATCCTGAGTGTAGAGAACAGCGAGGGTGAAGCAACCCAGGTTTTTGAGCAAGGATGCGAAGCACTGCTGGCTTGAGACTTGGGAAGGGGGAAGGCTGGAGGTGCAGATGTGTGCTCTGAGCTGACCAGAAAGAAATCACACAGCTGCAGCTCTGTGGTGCTGAGCTCATGAGTTTCGCCAAGAGGTGAAATGGTTGTCTTGGGCTTGGTGCTGCTCCAGTTTGACTGCGTGGCTTTTGGCTGTCTCGAAGTGAGCTTGTGACTGCCTGTGAAATGTCATGGGCTGTCCTGTGTCGCTTGTTCTTTGCCACCATAACGGCTGTGCAGAAAGCCTGGGGCGCAGCTGATGAAGATGGCACATCTGCCCTCCTGGCAATGGAATGGAGGTGGGAACCCATCTTCCAGAGGCTGGCTGTGGTCTGGCTGAGAAAGGACCAGCCATACTGAGCACAGTAATCTGGATGGTTGCTTCTGTGCCTCTGCAGCCTCTGCCCAGAACAACAAGCTCTTTGTAAGTGTTGAAGACTACTTGTGCTGTTCCTAGCAGGGTGTTAACAAGTGCTGAGTCCTAGAATCCTGGATGATACCAGAGATTTACGTTAGGTATTAGGAGGAAGTTTTTTTTCACCCAGAGGGTGGTGAGGCACTGGAACAGGTTGCCCAAGGAGGCTGTGGATGCCCCATCCCTGGAGGCATTCAAGGCCAGGCTGGATGTGGCTCTGGGCAGCCTGGGCTGCTGGTTGGTGACCTGCACACAGCAGGGGGTTGGAACTGGGTGAGCATTGTGGTCCTTTTCAACCCAGGCCATTCTATGATATCTGGTCAGAAACTGTGCTGGGGATGGGATGCAGCCTGCACTGGTGAGCTGCCTCCTGGCCTTGGAGGAAGCCACATCAGGGCAATTGCACTGCATCTCTTCTCAATGCGCACTTGAGTTTACCAGATTAAAGGCAGTGCTTGTGCTTCCTCTTCTTTGACCAGGAATATCGTTGTCTTTGCAGATGTGCTCTGCTCTGGCAAGGTCTGCAGGCCAGTCTGCTGCAGGGATTCCTCAGCAGAAGCCTGAACGGTGTGGGTTCAGCTGTGCTTGACAGGTAAGCTGTGGGGCAGCTGTGTCACCCTGGCCCTTAGTTCTCGCCATTACCTCTCTGCTGTCATTTATAAATTTCAGGGTCCTTTCCAGCAAATACTGTCACTATTCCATGACAAAGTGCACTTCCCTCGGTGGCTTCCCTTTCCATAGATCTGTTGGACAGACTGTTTGTGCTCGTTGACATGGAACAAGCTCAAGTGAAATGAAATCATTTATAAAAGTCAGGAGAGAACTTGGATATTGTAATTCACTTCCTGCCATGCTCTCCAAGCTGCAATTAACATGGACCTGCAAGATTACATGGTGTTACTTGTCCTGTCTCTTTTCAGCCCCTCACTTCCTTTTTCCTTCCTCATTTCCTTCCTTTCTAAGCTGGCCTTATTGCATATCTGTTTTTGCCTCTCTCTTTTTTTTTCTCCTCTCTCTCTGTCCGTTCTCTATTTCATCCTTATCCCTTCTCTTTGTACTTTTTTTTCCCCTCTTTTCCCCACTCTTTGCTTTCCATATCTCCTGTATTCTTTCTTCCTCTTGCTCTCTTTATTCTCCCTCTATATTTAAACCCAGGCAGAAACAAATTATTTATGAAGGGCTATAATTTATGATGCGTCCTTAATGCCTTGGAAGGCACAGATAATTTATTTAATAAGTAAAGACATGATAATTCACAGATGATGATTCCAGTCAGAAAAATTAGTTTCATTAATTTGTTGTAAATTCTCTGCCTTGATTTAGTGCAGGAAGAGTTCCTGAAACCCGATTCAAATCTATGTCTTGGTGGGTGTTTCTTTTTGTCATCACAGAACCAGCATGCAAGCATGCTGCCTTCCCCACCCCTTGCTCTCTCTCTTGCACTCCTGCTTTCTGCTCCTGTCCTCCCAGCACTCAGCACAGCTAGCAGAAGCATTTCTTTGCAGGGCACGTGCCTGGGAGGCCTGAGGTGGAATATGAATGGAGGTACTACAGGCAGGGCTGGAGGTAAAACAGGCCACACTGTCTCAAAAATGTATATTTTGCAAAACTAGACACAGTTCTACAAGATTTTGTCCAATTAACTCAGCCCTAAGAGAGAATAAAAAAGTGGATTTCTCTTTTTAATAGAGTATAGAAGGCACTTTTTCAAATAAATTTCAAGGCAGACCATTTTGCATTAGAATGTTGCTGATAACTGCAGTATATATAAATATTATAGGAAACCTATTGAAGTGATTCATGGTGTACTATTGATCTAATCAGATTTAACTAAGTGTTTGCATCACGCCTTATTAATCACAGATAATAGGGCTCTTAGGACACATTGCAGAATCAGGACTTTTCTTTCCACAAGTGAAATGTTTGCTTTCATAGTGGGTAGGCAGCGTCCAAAGATTCTGGCTGTATCTTGCTGGGACTACTGCAGTCCATGGGACTTCCCCTGGGATGAACTTTGCCAGGTCTGTTGATGCTCTAAAACACTGATTAGGGGTATTGTTCTGCTCTGCAGTTGATTCTGCCCAGCTTAGGAACGTTCTCCAGTTTTCACTGGACAATGATGACAAGATGAACTGGTGTGAATTGCAGTGCTTGATGTTACCACTGGGACTCTACCCTCTGCAGCCCATGCCTGTCCCCAGCCCTCTTCTGCCTCTTTGGTTTGTAAATTCTGTGCTTGTCAGTGTCAGGATAAAGTTCTGTGATTTTACTTTTTGTGTGTGACTGTAATCCCCTAGAGTCCCCTTTCTGTCAGTGCTGTAACAGAAGCCCCATCTCAGTGGTCACATACAGAGCAGTTTGATAAGGAACAGCGATGGGCTGGAGGGTAGCACCATTCGCAGGCGTTATTGCTGCTGGTGTTACTGCATGGAACAGAAAATTGAGCACAGGGTGGGACCCACTTTGCTGCCTACAGGTTTGGAATGAGCTGGTTCTGGGACTCGTGTTTTAGGAATCCAATCTCTGTGGCTTGTGATATACAGTTCTGCAGACGAAGCTGCATTACACAAGTCTGATTTTTGTGCTTGCTGGCTGCCTAGCTATGTAAAAGTTATATGTGTTTCTCCTTGGTTTTGCCCCGTGGTTTGTGTATTTTGATAACCACGGTCGAGTTGATTTAAGCAGGTCTTGAAACGCTGTTTTAGGAAGTTATGACTGTGTATCAGACTGGGTAATCCACCCCTGCTCCACTCGCTCCCTGTGAAATCCAGTACAAAGAACTGTTCAGGACTGTGGTTGGGCTGGGGGAGGTGAACGATTCCCCTTCTGCTGAGGTTGTGTGAAGTGAAAGCCTCTGGGAACTTCAGAAAATGTGATAAGCGAGGGGGTCAAACAGCCGATTAAACGTCCAACCCCTCTCAAATTAAATGTTGTTGCTGAGATTTGGTTGTGCGACTCTTTCAGGTTTCGCTGATCAGCTCAATCAGGAGGAGCTGATGATGAGGTGCAAAGGACGGTTCCTCCCAGTGCAGGGTCCCACGGGTCTTTCCTCTGTTTGGTGGTCTGTAGGAGCTCCTGGAGAGGAGTGGGATGCAAGACACGGGTTCTGCTGCTTAACTCCTGAACCCAACTCTTCCTGCTCTCTGTAAGGGATCGGTTGGCTGGATTTGAGGTATACATGTTGGAGATTCTAGCTGGTATGCCGGGAGCCTCAATCCCTGCCTCTATCCCAAGCCGTGGTGTTGACTTGCTGAGTAAAGGACACCTGCCTAGTGGAGGAGGTCAAGGGCTCCAAGCCTCTTCTCAGCCTGGGGGAGCAGGATTTTGCTGCACTTGGCTGTGCTGCTGGCCATACCTCGCTCATCCTTCTTTACTAGCCATCATCACAACGTGACACGATTGCGTTGTGCTTTATGAGGAGCAGGAGTTACATCTTGGCAGAATTCGTCTTCCCTCCCCCACGCACGGGATGAGGCCTCCCCAGGTGCTGTCTCAAGTGTACACTGGAGCATTTGAAACCCCTCCTTGAGGCGAGACGGATGAGGAATGAATATCCCAAGGAAAAATGTCCCGCCCTCCCCCGTGGCGGTGGTGGTTGAGCAGCACGTTGGAGCCAGCTGTGCAAACACAAGAGGGCTGCACAGCCCCCTCCCTGCTGCTCTGCGAGGCCGTGCCAGCACTGACCTCAGCCCTCAGGTGGACGTCTCCTCCACCTCGCAGCTGGTGGGGCTGTCTCCATCCTGCCGCGGGACAAGAAGCAGCCAAACGTGGTGTTCCTGCAATCTGTGTGAGCCTTGTCCCCGTGAACTGCTTTAGACAGCTTGAATGTGTGACTTGGTTGGGTGCTTGGGGTATGGTAGCATGCCAGCTGCTCTGCTCCAGGCTGGTCAGCAAAGCACTGTGCTGGAGTTTTCCTCCCTGCACCTGCCTGTAAGGTGACCTGCTTGCCACATCTGAGAGCAGTGGGCTTTGTCCAAGTTCTGCCTGATGGTATGTGCTGCAGCTCCTGCCAGCTGCTCCTAAGCTAGCGACTCCGCACTGCACCACACTCACAGGAAAGAGATGGGAGAAGAATGCTTATCTTCCATTTATTTTATGCTGTTCTTGGCCTTAAGTAAAGCCTCATTTTCATCAGGCTGGCACAGAGTGCTTTCTGCTGCTTCCTGGAGCAGCTCCTCAGGTATCTGCCCCTAAGCCTCTCTTTGTGCCTCAGCCCTGTGTGGCAGGAAATAAATGCCCCCTGGTACTCCTGCCCTGCCAGAATCTCTTGGCTGAAGGCAGGGTTGGGGAGTTACCGAGGGGTCCAGCACCTCCTGGAGATGTCAGGCAGAGCTGGGAGGCTGAAACAAAGCCCTGAGGCTGTCCTGGCTCCAAACTGAGCAGATGATCATGGAAAGAGCGTGGCTCGCCTGCATCCCATATGAAAAGGAAACGGGGCCATAGCAGAGCGGCTCATGCTGTCTGCTAAATGCAAGTTCCTGTCCTGAGACCTTTTTCTAAGCACATCGAGGAATATCTGCTGAGGGAAGGCAGTAAGTAGTGAGTCTACAAAGCAATCTGTATGTGTTAATCTCAGATGGTACATAATAATAGTGCTCAGCGCTGGGTAAGTGCTGGGCAAATATTAGTGGCTTGTTTTACTTGTTGCAGGAGCTGAAATTTATCACAGTCAGTAAGCTGCAGTGTGTGTTGCTATAGGAGAGCTGACCAGAACCTGGATTTCTTCCCCAGCCACCTCTGTGAGTCTGGGGACTGGATGTTTTGGGGGGTAGCTGGGAAAGCCCATTTTATTTTCACGTTCCTCTTTTTTCCCTCTCTTGTTTGAGTCTGATTTTAAAGGCTGTCCTGGTTAGTTGCTCCCCACACCATCTACCCATAAAAAACCCCTGCAGAGGCACACCAGGGAGCGTGCTAGAGCTGGGAGGTACACCAGTGTGCTGCACAGTGTGTTTGCATCTGCTCCAGTGTTGGCTGCCCTCTTCCTGCAAGTGACAGGCTCTGGCAAATGCCAGGCTGCTCATTACCTTTGCACTGCTCCATACATAATGAGGTAAAATGAAAACAAGTTCCCTCACTGCAGCTATGTGATCTGGGAACTCATAAAGGCTAAAGTGCTTTTAATTATGAGCTTGTTCCGATTATGCCCAGGCTTTCTGTTTCCTCCCATGGAGCAGACCAGCCCTCTGAGGTCAAGATGAACTTCAGTTAGAGAACTTCTGGCACACAGTTAGGAAAACTGGAGAGTTTCCCCCCTCCTAAAACTAGACACCTGCAATGTGTGATCTATTGTTCCCCAGAGGCCCATTCTCCTGGCTATAATATTGCTGAAAGCAGAACAAACACAATTATTTCTGGACAAGAAAGAGCCTTTCCTTTCTCTCTGGCTCTGTAGCACACCAGGAGCCCCCTGTTCTTCTCCCAGCTGTGGGATTGCAGGCTCTGATGAAGCAAGAGGCTTTAGCCTGTTTGGTTGAACTTCCATCTCCTGGGCTTGGAACTGAGATTTCGTAAGCTGAACTTGCTCCCTTCATCCTGAACTTGGAGCCTTCTCTGGAGAGGGACCAGAGGATCTGCGAGCAAAGATTCAGCCTG